AAACTGGGAAACTTGGCGCTTAATCACCTAAACTAACATTTCGAGTCAAGATGCCTTGTGTCAACTACATACCGTCACAAACAGCTTGCTATCATGCAGCTATAGCTTATGATGTCACCTTTTTGTCTGCAATGTGCTGGTATCCATCCTGTATCCTTTTTAGTGACTTATCTTTGTTATATTATAAGGCTAGAAGAAGTGCTAACAAGAGCTGGCAGTGTTGACCAAATTAGAGTAACAACAGTACTGGACGAGGCTCGGGTGTTCTACCGGACATCGTAGTAGCGGTTGCGCTGTTAAGTGCTGTTCTAGTCGTCATTATCATCAACAGCAATACATCAGCCATTTGAATTGACGCTTCGCTGCCACACAACCATAACGACTTACGGAACGAAGAATCATAAGACGGAGAGAAAGATGACTTACCTGAAAACCTTAATGCTCTATGCTAACATTCAGGGTCAAAGTGGCTGCACCTTGTGTTAGCAACATATTGTCCCAAACAGCTGGCTATCGTGCAATGATAAGGTGGCATCGGCGAGACAGCTTCCTTGCGGCTTTCACTGCCCCGCGTCATAATCACAATGACCCTCCAGATAACTTGGCACCAAACACACTTGAAACAGGCAGTCCGACTAGGGGACAACAGCAAACGCGTCACTGGTGCCGGTTGCAAGCCATGTCCTGTAACGTGTCGAGCCAAGCACCAGGAGGTCACCTGGACTGCAGCCGGGAAGGCGAGACAGACCGACTGCACCGGGTTTGGTCGTCATTGACTTTATTTTCCGCTACTTAGTCAACTTTCATCCACCTCGTGTCGTGCGCCACTCTACATCTGGCAGACGAAACTAGGCCCTCCTCGGGAAGCGGTAATCGGCCATACGTGCACAAGCCGACGCAACTTATTCTGTGCTGTTGTTCTATGGAAGTAGCATCGCTGCTTAACTCTTGACCAGGCACATTATCGTTGCGGACGTCAGTGCCATTCGATACCATCAATGCTTCGCAGACAACGAGAATGAAAGACCTGAAGGCGCCTCAGGTCCTCAGATTGAAGGCGTCAAGTCTCACTCTTGGTTTTTGCTTTTTGCTTATATGAGCCATGACAATACGTATTCCACTGTTGCAAGACATGTGGCACTTAAAACATCAACTGTGCCTTCATCTCCAAGTAACGAATCCATGTGTACTACGAACGGCGAGACATACAAACCCCAAGTAGGTCACAACTCGGTTGCCCTACTGACTTGTTGTAGACTTTAATGAGAGCCATATTATAACAAGAACTTCCAATGTGCGTTGCAGTTAGCTGTACCTATTCTCGTCAACAGTTTCTATACAATTCTTGGAATAAATCGGTTCCACACACACACACACACACACACACAGTCAAAGTACACCGTCGTAGGAAAAACACTGGCGCTTAAACGTCATTTGATGCCGGTCACCAACCTCACCACTCCAGAGCAACATTAGCCACTTTGTTGAGACTTCGGTAACCTTCAATTTGTGAGCAGTGCTGTCTGTTGCGTATTCTAAATGAATCAGGTTGGTTTTACCACGTAAAACAGTCCATTATGTGCCGAGCGATCAAACTAGCAGGCGGCTTGGATTATATTGTAACCATCTATAACTACAAAGTATATTTCCGCTACCTTTGGTTGCAAAAATCAAAAGACATCTTGGTTGCGTGCCACAAATGAAGAATATCCTCGGTTGTGACGAATTTGCCAAAACAGAAATGTGAGAACTTCAACCGGGCAATTTCTGTGTAGAAATTTTCTGTATGTGCATTTGTCTATGGGTTTTTTGCCTTGCACAGCATTCGTGTGGGTTTCCTTCCAGTCACCGTGGACTGCGACTATGGTCCAAAGGCTTCTTTAAGGGTTGGCGCAGTAGAATGTGGCGCATCGTGCCATATATATATATATATAGATCACAATCTGTGTACAGATATTGTGCCATCGGGACCATGGCGGAATAGGAAAACAGGGTTAGATTAAATGAAAAATAGAAAACGAACAATTTTCGTCCATTTTTCACTCGTGGTTTTTGAGTTTTTTTTGATGATTTTTATTGGGGGAGAGAAGAGGATGATTTATCCATGGTTCGTCAGTGGGCGAGATACTACCCGGTTGCCCAAGCCGAAGTAGAGGGCTATCTTAGAGGGCCGTATCCTGTGCCTTTGATCCAGGATCTAACGTACAAGGCAGCAGGGCGATATGAGGGTATCGCAACCCGTTGGGGGCCGGTGACCAAACAAGTGGTTCATACGCCTTTGGGACCGCATAGGATCAGGGGCCCAACACACCCTTGAATTACAATGCCACTCGGAGAGGGGCAAGGGGCAGTTAGTGACGAGTCACATCCGCCACGCCACAGTGCTGTTAAACAGACATACATGGCTTTATATAGGGAGAACGCTTGTCAGGCGAAAACCCACCACGTCCTGGAACACTGCCGCCGAACCATTTACTGGAACGGGAAAACAAACCACCCAGCTGGCACCACGAGGAGGTTGTTCGGCAAGTCAGCCGGTTGTTCGGCCACAAGGTTGAGATGACGCGCCGTCTAATTTCATGACCGCCCCGATTAGTCTATCATCAATGTTCCATGTAGCAGTTGATACGTTGAAATAAATAAATAAATAACCATTTCATTACAGAGGAGTAGTAGGTGGAGTTTATTGGTATAGGTAGAGATTCGTTACATCTAGATCCACTCAGACACCCCCTCACACGCCCGATAAAGCACTGTACGCGCGTTTCATCCTTTCGAGAATCGTCAGCAGTGCGCATTCCATCGGACCCGGGTAAGGCTTGAACCCGCAACTCGATTGTTGCCAATCCGTGGTTGAGACCATTCGGGTAGGGGGGACGGCACAGATCATCGTGAGGCTACTAGAGGTGACATAGCGCCACTCACTATCCACTGACTTGTACGTTGCTGTCGTGCAGAGGACAAGATAGCCCCCTCATCAGGCGACAAACTTACGAACTTAAGCCGCCAATTAACTTATAGCAGTTTGGTCTACTTACAGAGAAATAGTAGGGGAGTTGAACGGTATAGGTAGAAATTCGTCACAGCTCAGCCACGCGCGGCACGTTTATAATCACCTTTCGTGGTTGTACTGGCTTTGTGTGGGTAAAAGGAGGTTACCATATTTGTCATGAGTCAGTCATGGTATGCGTTGTATGTGTGTGTGGCCCAGTGGTATGACCATTGTGCACCGAGGCTATTAATTCGACCGGATCATCTTTCACCGGCACTACTCACGTCTGATGCTAGAATCGGTTAAGTGCACCATTAAGCCCTCTCGAGCAACACTGAATTGTCTGTTCCACTTGCACTAAACACATTCGTTAGGCCATCTTCCTTGCATGCTTGTCGACGGTCTGTTGTCTTGGGAGCATCCAATAGGCGCGAGGAACGAACCAGACTAACAATGCAAGATGAACACAACGATCTTATTCTTCGGTCGCGGAAGACGTAGTCGCCCATGTACACGGCTTTCTTGACTGGTTGGCATTTGCCCAGCCACATTGAGCTCCCCTATGTATGTTTTAACCTGAATCAATCGGAGTACCTCATTGACCCAAAAACCTTACAACTGAAAGCGCTCGAGCTTTATATATCGAGGTATTTTTTCGAGTCGATCGTGGTGTCGTGATTATTATCTGTTGAATAACGCTGTTCTCTGGATAACCGATTTTTCAATCGCTACCTTCGCTTAAGGCGTGGGGTTAATACTTAGCCTCGTTGGATGAACCCTTAGGGTAACTGCTCTATGGTCAAACATAAAAGCGTGAAGAAATCAAAAAGATTTACCCGGCTCATGCATGCTGTCCACTTGCGTAAAGCACATATCAGTGACACTGCATTATCACTCGTCATGCAACCGTCGAGTGTTGCTAGGAAATCAAGCTCAACCTTCAAAATTTCGTTTAGAGTACCCACCATGTGATTAAATTGCGAGTCACAATATCTCTTGCCACCTCGGTAAACTTTAAGCCAGACCTCGGTCATTCCGATCACCAGTACCGTCTCCGAAGTGCAGCGGTTTCGGGGTCGCTCCTCCCAACACTGACATCTCACAACCGGTTTCATCCCCCTACGGACTCATCAGATGGAGATATCCTGAACTGGGAGTGATACTCGGGGTCTAGCAGTCAACGGCTGACGCTTTGATCACCAGACCACTGAGATCCGTGAGCGACGCTTGACACATTGGTAAGCAATTCGAAGTTGGATTTGCAGTACCCGCCGTGTGGTTGGATTACGACGCGCAATCTCTGTGGCGATCTCTGTTTACTTTGATGTAGACCCCGAGCGTTGCTCACGTATCTCAGCTGCTTGGTACTCAAGGCGTCAATCGTTGACCATTAGACCCCGAGTATCACTCCAGCTCAGGCTATCTCTACCAGATGAGTTTAGACGATAACGAAATCGGTCATGGGATGTCATTGTCATTCCCTTTATTTCCTGCGATCACCGTCGTCAATTGCAGCGTCAGATGCGTGCACATCCCAATCTGGACATCATTGCTTTAGCCGACAACGCACACATCAACGCTGCAGGTCGTTGTATATTAGTTGGGGCACTACTAAGATGCCCGAACTAAGATAGAAGAACGAAGGTGTTATTCAACCAGGACCTCAGGTTCACTTTTCTGACCACATTGAACCTGAAATCTGATGCTCCCCCGGCCGCAAAATGCAATTGTTTAGGTCACAAACCCAGCAATTTCTTCTCCAACCGGTTTGCGGCATGCGAGCTTGTATCTAACGATCGGATCACCATCAACCGATCCGTTGAAGCATCTTGTTGCTACCCTGCTTTGACGTCCATCGCTTGCCACAACAATGAAAAGCACTAAGAAACTTTTACCGCGACGTCTCGCATTGGTTATCTTAGGCTGCCACACTCGTTCATCTTTTCGCTCCATCATTCTTCCCGGATCACCTTTGACATTTGCGTCGTCGTTTTCTTTACATTTCCAGATAACAGCCACTTCCGTGCGGTACTCTCTCCGTCCAAGGATACCGGCATGAAGAAGAAAGATTCCTCTGATGGCGCCGTCCATTTTTGGCCTACGACGATTTACAATAGCGCAGAGAACGAGACAGGTACAAAGGATCCTAACGGCAGCGGCGCTGCTCCGTCATTGGAAAAGGCACTTTTGCCGCCAATCACTCCGGCCACATCACTTGAGAGCTTATCACACGTAATGAACGCGCACTCTACGCATGTAAAAGTAGAACAGGTGAGATGATGCACCCTTCAGGTATGGTGCTTTCTATTCATTTGACGGTTTGGGGATGAAATCAACTTGCGTTAACTCCGTTTGACCCTGCTTTCAATTGAAGTCGTACTACCTCTGCTTTGTCGAATTCCCTCATCGCTTGGTGCCATTAATGCTTTTTTCCCACTAGGTACTTTGTTTCCAGTTAACCAAACCTATTCTTTTCCCTACTGGATCTTCATAAAACTACTGCGCTTAGCCTGTCTGTGTTATCAGCGAATGTCTGGAAGTGGTTTCACACAATTAGACTCGATTGTTTACTTCGTACGAATCCTCCTTTTTCATGAACTGGCTCAGTTGTTTAAATTAGAACCCCGACACCTCAGGTTCGAGCCTCTTCTCCCGCATGGATTTGGGCGTTCTGGTCCCGGTCCGTGTGTATCCGTTTGAGAATGTGATGCTTCGTAACACTAGCTCTACGTATTGCTGATGCCTTTGCCCCGCGGTGTTTGCAGCGGGTCTCGCCACTTGAAGAGTAAGGGATAGATACTCTCCATGTCCGCTACTTACTTACATACTTTACTTTACTGAGGATAGATCTTGCGACAGCATAAGCCGGCTTCATGAATATCGTGAATTGCAGATGCCCAAGCGCGGCAGTCGGCGGCATGCTCCACATAGATACTGATTCATTGATTTCTCCAGTGACGAGCACTATACACAACCTGTAGTCCCAGAAGATCGACATCCGATTTCACTGCACTGAGCCACCTTATCAATTGCTCACCAACGGCTTTAGTGAATTCACTGTCTGATCTGCGGAGGACGTTATCGAATCACTGAAGTCTGCTGCGTTAGACTAGCGCTGAGAGCTTCGGAATACCGTAACAGTGCTTACGAACTTCATCATTGGTGATACGCTCGTGTCACTTTGTTTCCCAGCTAAGCCTTAGACACCAAGGTTCGAAGACTTCCAGCTTCCGAGTGTCTCTGGATCTCATCGGCCATGTTTCGCAGCCATAGAGTAAAATGACACGAAAGGCTGCTGAAAATACTCGGATTTTCGTTCTCAGATTAATTTCCGTCCTTCGTCACACCGTGTTTCTCGGTTGTAAGAACGCTGTTCTAATGCTGTCAGTACGATTCCGGATTTCGTACGCAGTCTGATCATTGGGGAGGATAGTGAATCCAAGGTACTTGAACTCAGAAATGCACATGTAAAGGAGAGTGAAGGGGTGGACTGGATGGCTGACGAGGCCGATCATGGAGGCTGACTGGTCGACCGTATTTAGTATTGATTGTAGTGATATAGGATCTTCTGCAAGGATAGCGATATCGTCAGCAAATTCCTAGGGCTGGGAACCAGAAGCCAGGGCTAACTTGAACACCACGACAATCCTCGAGGATTATGGACAATCCCAGCCTTCGGGACCTCTCTGTTGTCACACACACGTACTGAGCTCACTCTATGCCTTGAATCTACCGGTTATATGCTGAACATATTTATGATCCCTTGTATTCGCCCTGGCATTTTTCATGCATTCACGATCGTGAACTTGGTTTTCTGAATGGCAAACCACAGCGCTCAAATCGTGAGTAGGGACTCCTAGCCATAATGAGTTAATCACTGCGTGAATTTCGCCCGACATGTGCATGAGGGTTTATTTTCTCACTTGCTCCCGAAGAGTTCAGTACTCGGAAGACAATATCTATGGGTTGCTTCGGGTTAGAAACGATTGTGCCGTTTGAACTAACGATAACAGCGTTTCAGGTTGCGTTTCTGAACCTGGGCTTCGGGAGTTGCCATCAAGCTTTATGTTTCAAACACGGAACGCTTTTCACCGATGGTACTCTCCACGCACAGAGTAGCCAATTAAATTTGGATCTGTACGGCCTAAGTGACCAACCCACCATCAGATGTTGTACACCCGAAAATGATAGATTGGCCTGTAGCAAGAGTTCGAAGACAAATCATACCTTCTACACTTCCGTATTCATTACTCAATAGTGTAGAAACGTAATAGATAAACTATAGACCATTGCCTACGAAGTTGCGCTTGAGCAAAACTCGAATTAGATGAACTCTAAGTTAACCAGAAACGGATCACTGCCGAACGAATAAATTATGATGAAGATACGAGTTGAATAGACTGTGTTTTGACAGTTTGTTCTAGTTAACACGCCTCCTTTCATCAAGGTCTCTGATTTTCAGTTTGAATTGGCATCTTTGCAAGAAACCTGATTACAATAACCGGAATCGCACGCGGTGCGCAGATCTAATAGAAAGTATAGAGGCAAGTGGATATTGGTAGCGCACCTCAGTTGCTATGTCGTGATAATATCTTGAGGAAAACTCTTTTGACATCAGTGTGGCGTGGAAAGGTGGATACAACAGTGCCACTAGGAGAACCGAAGTGGGGTCTACACATTTTGTCTTTGTACATGACAGCGATTTCAATGAGATTGGCTCAGCTGTTACGTGCACATTTTGAGCCATTGTTTAGTGATAATACTGCTGCTATGAGCTCAGGCGAACTTTGCGCAAGTTTCCCACGGATCTGTGCGAGCTCCACTACACTTTTCTCCTCGTTTCTGTTGTTGCTGTTTGTTTTGGATCACGTTTATTTGCGGACTGGTATAGAGTCAAGCAGTGTTGGTCTGCGCAACATAAACATTGATGTTTCCTAATAAAACTAATGGTCCAACACCTTATGGGCGGACCTAATTATCTTCAGTTGCTTGTCCTCCCCCCTCCCCCCAAGGAATCCACCAGTAGAATTCCTCTCGTTCCTAAATGCGCGAAGGATTTGGTTATTGTGCCCATCTTTCTTTTATTTGACGACCAGTTAGATATTTAGTACTCTGAGTTTACTATCAGCCAAGTAATTCACTCCAGTGCAGTTGGATGAATCGTGTAACAGCCGAAAGTCAGGTTGCATCCGATTCAACTTCCCATTTGGAAGCCTTGTTATGTGTGCCTTTTTACATCCATCGCTTGTGGCGCTATGATGATCTTCGTGTAGTACGTCGTCTGTACTCAAGCTATTATCTTACTCATTCGGCATTTGTTGTACCCCACATTCGTCCTGTTCCATCAAAATCGAGATGAGCAAAAACACACCCAGCGGGCTTAGCGTACGGCTTCGGTCTGCTCGTCAAATTCTGTCGCACCAAAACGCCAGTGTCTCCGTTAGGTAGAAAAATGTTTTGTTTCAGCGATACACATAGCCAGTCGTGGTTATTCTTTTGCTCACTTCCCCTTGTTCACTACCTTTTGTTCACTATTTCCGAGCGCCATGTTAGCTTCGGCCTGTTTCCGTGGCTCCGCTTGATTACCAGTTGCATGCTCTTTATTTTGCTTGAAGTTATATCAGCCCCACTCCTAGTAGCGATATTACGATAAAACTATATCTAATCGGCATGGACGAACTAGACTGCCTATAGGGCACGATCTGAACAGATTCTGTCATTGGTTGATTTGTCGCTGTGGGCCTTCTACGCGACTTCACTGATTGGTTGGCTAAGTTTGACCACGTTGCAATGAGTTCCCTAGCGGTTTGTTTAACTCTTTGTTGGTACGACTGTGGCGTCGTCGTTGGTGGGGGCCATCCACCACTATCAGGATCTTGTATGTCGCATAGATTTTTGCTAATAATCTTTACTGAATCAGTCGCTTGTCTCTCAACGGCCTGGTTTCCAACTGGCCTCGAATTTGATTATCTATCTTCTCGAAAACGGTGTCTGACAAACCAAGGCAACGACACAAGGTCTCTTACTATTCGCAGCTACCCCTTTCACCTTGGAACTCTGCTTCTTCTGTCGTCCTCACCATTTTCTTTATCTCTTCTTTGCCTATTTTTTCGTTGTTACTAAGCCACCTCATTATTTTGGTGGTTGTCTAGGCAACTGGACCTGGTGCAGTTCGGTGTTGATTGACCTAAATGGACCGTGCTTCGAAAAGTTCTATCGGTGCACCGCTGGAACGGCTGCTCATTTTGCTTCTCCTTTCAATCACCCGTGTATAATGACCGTACTTTCCGGTTTTTCAACATTGTAGCTAGGCTCTCCCTTCTATCTGCGATCATGCGTCCACCTACATTTTCACACAATCCACTGCTCGACTCAATTCTCTATTGTATCTCTTTTGGCCACCGTAGGATATCTTTACCCGTTCACACCACAGTTAAATGTAATCCAGAAGAGGACAGTTTTCCACAGTTTGCGTCCACCTCCAACTCCAGTGGCAATTTTTCACACACATTAGTGAATCCCTCAAGAATATCCGTTTACACCACTATGTATACTTCGACTAGGTTGGAGTGCATAAGCTCTACTCCAGTATTTATTGTAATGGAAAATTTATATGCACATTCTTCTCTATGGTTCTCACAACGTGAACACTTCTCCCACACAGGTTATCCAAGATGGCAAGGCGATAAACGAGGTGGCTCGGATCAGTTCGCACAGCACCGGCTCCGAAGCCGCGCACCCCCATCGCGACAAACCCCACGGTCATCATCACGGACACAGCCATGATTTGAGCTCGGTACGTGCCATTGCGTACACTGTCATAGTTGGCGATGGGCTGCACAATTTTTGTGATGGAATAGCTGTGGGCGCTGCGTTCGCAAACAGTCTACGTGGCGGTCTGTCAACTTCGATAGCGGTTCTCTGTCACGAGCTTCCACATGAATTGGGTGAGTTGTCGAACCTCTGCCGAAACACCGCGTGACTAGTGGAGTGTGTTTGTTGACTTTCCAATTTGACCTACTCGACGTACTGTTGACCATCTCGCCGGATTACTAGCTCACCTGGCCTGTATTCGCTTCTGGTGTGCCCATCGCTATCCTGCACTCGCATCCAAGGGTTGGTGTCTACCACCCGACTGTAAGTCCTCTATGCTGTTCCAGATGCACTTGTTATTTATTCCTAATAAGAATATCAGAAGACGAAAATTGCGGGATATTAGTTATTCGTGCCTGCCCACGCTGTTCAATCGCTGTTGTTGGGGTTAATCCGCGTCCTCCTTAGTGACCAAGTTGTTCTTCCTTCCATCTAGACTGGGGACCAATTTTACCGTGCCTTTCCGAGTCCCTCTATCGTGAGGAACTTAAGTCAATTGCGATTGATTGGCCACCTGTCTACCACATTTCATATCCCAGGTTAAAATACAGTTTATCGCTTTAAGTTACTCAGAAGCGTTTCCAATGTAGAATTCATCTTTATACACTTTGAGAAATTCGACATAAAGCCAGTGGGGATTAAAGGAAAGAACACCACCGGTTATAAGTGAAACGAACGGGACTTCTATAGACCTTATCCTGTAGACGATTCGACAAAGCTTTATTTGTTTATCCGGAAGGGATTGTCACTGTAAACCATTGGATGGTTCTTCGCAACAGCTTCTAAATCACTTACTCCTCCACATACCCTGAAAAACACCATCCGGCCGTTTCGTCCCATCGCCACTATTCAGCGGTGCGCGTTCATCAGCTCCATCATCAACCCAACCCATGAGCACTTAGACTGCCAGTCGTCAGCGTACGCATCGATTTATCGAAACAACCTTCTTCTGAACACCTACGTGCGAGTACTTGTCCCGTGTCCTAGGGGACGGTAGAAGTGGGAGCACGAATGTCTGTGGACGGAAATAACTTACCTAGCAATTCTCGCCGGAACGAAAGTGGGATAGACAGTCACATTTCATGGATGGTTATTTGCAGTAACTTCAAAGTCACAGAAACTCCCAAGCATTCATACAACACTAGACGGCAGTTTTATACTATAATGGAATGTGAGTACTACACAACACCCGGCTCCATCAGAAAACGACTCCATGGTTTCTCGAGACTAGAAGTTTGCACCGCCAGTCAGCTACGTATGCCAATAACCCATGGTGGACAACATCGGACCGTCATTATTTGCAACCTAACTGCGATATAGTTCGAATCATCATCCACTGTCATGCAAGTCACGAAAGTTGCAGAAGGAAAGGTTGGCCTCGAGGAGCAGGCTAAGCATAGTTGTTTCCATAAAAATGGATCTTTATATAGCTCGGAACTATGTATTATTATCCGATTTTTAAAACATCAGCTCATTGCCCACGTCCCATTTCAGTTTAGCTGGTCAACCATATCTCTTGCATCGAAGTATGCAGGCGCCTTAATTCTCTTCCCTACATAGTTGGCGGCATCCGGTTTCGGATTTACCTGTCACTGTGGCCAGTCACAGAACGCCTGCGCCTACAGAGGGACCATGGGTGGATTGCGCTGCAACACCCACAGCTCCAACCACACACCCCATATCCAGTGTAAACCCGAAGGAATAAGACCGGGAGGCATGCGGATGGGAACCACGTTTCATCAACGGAGCCTGCCCACACTCCTTCACAGACAAACACAAGCACGCTGTATTTGGGGAATCAAGCGCACACAAGTCGGTGGCTGGACCGTAGTCCGCTCCACACTGATTGCATGGAACCACTCTTTGAGCCCAGCATGGCCACAAGGACCGAGCACCCCGTCCCCTCCAGTAACGACCAACTGTCTCGTGGAGCCAGTATGAACGAGGTAGTGAGTAATAGACAGGTAGGCACCTTGTCAACATGCACATCAAGCGCAGTCACATCGGGGATATCAAGCAACAGCCAATCACTTGAAACGACAAGATGAAGTAAAATAAATCGAAAAATGCATACAGATACGGTGGCATAACTCCTTGCTAAATTAGCATATGAAGTAAGTTGGTTAGCAACGAATCCGCGATAAGTACAAAATGTCCAGAAGTTACTTAAAAATGCTACAAACGCAACGAAGTTACCGAAGATAAGCGCAATTAGCGTAGGCAACGTGGCCAGTTAATGGAAGATTATCCAGGTAAGCAGAATAAACCGAATAAAGTGGAATGAAATGTATCCAGCTTAAAAAGACCTAGTTTAAGTGTAACTTGGTTTAGCCCAACTGCGGTGAAGAAGCATCAAGAATGCAACATCAGCCTCAGCATGGAGCACAACATATGAGCATAAAAATGCTTGCCAACGAACCCGCTATATGCTCAAGACGTCAGAAAATGTATTTTTTCTATGTCACAAACGCGAAAAAGTTACCAAAGTTAAATACCATTAACTTGAGCGACGTGTGCAAGTTAATAGAAAATAGTGCAGGTTGACATTAAAGAGACAATAAATCAAACCCACCACCTGAAATAAAGCGAATCAGCATGCAAGCACACGATTAGTAAATCGAATACAGCGTACCTACAAACGCTCTGCTGGTCCTGCATACCTTCTCTGCTGGACCCGTCGTCGTTTCGGTGGTGGCCTCGCTTATGGCTCACTAAGCCTTTCTGACTAAGGCACTCGCGACCGCATGTGCTACAGCACCATGCGCTTGATGTCGATGGAGTACAACCCATCGGCGCCTGCCTCTTTCCCACTTTCCGCTTCTTCCCTGCATGCATGAGGGCTTTCTCATGCACCTCGGCAACTGCCTTCGTGATCAGATCGCGCCATGCATGGCGATCAACCGCCTTCTATCCTACGACTTGCAAACAAGATTAGAACGTGAGAGGCTTACTTTGATCATGTCCTGGTAACGAAGCTTAGGTTTCCCCAAATGCCGCTTCCCTGTACTCAGCTGAGCAAATAATAGCTGCTTCGGTATCCGCGTCGAATCCATACTCCACACACGACTGAACCACTTAAGGTATCTCAGCAGAAGTATGAAGTTCATTGCATACATTCCACTTCAGGGCAACACTTCCGTGTATGCAAATCTGTCACGGTCGCCCGATGCGCAGAATCCGTCGCACTGTTATTGGAACCGCTCGAGGTATCGCACCTCCCGCCGGTGCATCGTCCACGTTTCACTGTCGTATAGAAGAACGGACAGCACCATGGATTTGTACACCATCAGCTTCTTGTCAATGGTAAACTGATGGTTGTTCCAAACTCGGTACTCAAGCTTCCCAAATTCCGCCGCTGTCTTCTAGACGCGGATACCAAGCTCACTGTGAAGGTGTTGGTCAGTCGATATCACACTCCCAAGGTAGCGAAAGCGGGAGGTGGTTTCTAATACTTCAGCACCAACACTGCTTCGCGGCACCATTGCAGATTGCGCCTCCAGTGAAGGCTGAAAGAGACAGACAGTTTTGCTTGTGTTGGTGATGAGTCCGAATTTGGACGCTGTCGAAGCCAGAGCACTAGTCATGTGCTGCAACTCATCCGCGCTGTGAAAACAACGCACATTCGTCAGCAAACAGCAACATACGGATAGTTGTCTCACAGACTAGAGTTCTCGCACCGAAACGACGGATGTTCAGCAACCCACCATCAATACGGTGCTCCACACGAACACCGTAAGCACAAGCGGCATCAAAAGCACAAGACATCATTGCATGAAGATATATATTAAGCATAGCTGGAGCTAAGACACAGCCTTGCTTCACACTATTAGCAACTGTAAAGTCATCCGAGGTCTCTGCACTCAGCTGCAACCTCGCCTGCATTCCCCTGTGCCAACATTCAATTAAATTTACAAACTTACGCGGGCAACCAAACATGCCCGATACCAGCCACAATGCCTCGCGGTTCACCGTATCAAATGCCTTGGTGAAGTCAACGAATAGCGAGAACAACAGCTGGTGTCGTTCTCTACATTTCTCCTGTATATGACCAGCCGCAAACACCATATCCATAGTGCTGCGACCAGAACGGAATCCACACTGCTCTTCCGCCACGTTAGGTTCCACAACCTGACTGACGAGGCGGTTGACCAGGATTCGGGCAATCAGCTTGCTGACACAACTCAACAAGTTGATGCCACGATAATTCGTGGAACATTGCTTGCTCCCTTTACCCTTGTACAATGGAAGCACAAGCGCATCCTTCAACTCAGGGGGCGCCTTCTCCTCAATCCACACGTGGTGCACTAAGTGGTGTAGCGCAGCCACCAACGCGGGTCCGCTGTGTTTCAATACTTCAGGCGGGATCCCCTCGGCACCGGCACATTTGACGTTGCTGAACTGAGCAATTGCCCTCTGCGTCTCCTCCAGTGTCGGCTTGTCCCCTATTCTCGCCTTCACGTCGTGCTGCTTCAGACCGTTCAATGTAGACCAGTCAATCTCTGAACGGTTGTTTAAGAGACAGTCCAGGTGTTTTTGCGAGATCTGCATTATGTCTGCAGTCTGTGTGCGGGTAGCGCCTGAGTTACCATAGATCAGTCTCCCCAGCGGCTCTGACCTCGCTTCATACACCGCCTTCAATCAGTCAAAGAATTTCTTGTGTTGGCGGCGTTCGGCGTAGCATTCCATCTGCTTCGCCTTCCCAGTCCACCATGCATTTTTAATGCAACGGACCTCTCGGGTCAGTCGCCGTCATAGTTTGCGATACTGACTATTTTTCCCCAAGTCACTGGGGTCTGCCCCATGTGTAGCAAATGCTGCAGTCTTCTCAGACTCCAATGTGCCAATTATCGCATTTTTCTGGTCAAACCAGTCAGGCCGCTTAGTTTGCGCGCCTGATGGTCTCCTCGGCAGCAGCTGTCACCTGGTCGCGAATGTGTTGCCATAGGTCGCCCACTGTGGCTATGCAGTCCACATCACACAGTCGTACAGCCATCGCCTTCTCCAGCTCAATACGTTTCTCCACAGTACCGAGGGAGAGAATGTTAAATTTACGCCGATTCACGGCGGGAGCGCA